CAGCACAGAGCCCGAGGCGGGGCTCGACCTCATGAACCGAGATCACGACCTGAGCTGAAATCAACAGTAAGATGCTCAACCGGCTGAGCCCCCCAGGAGCCCCCAAAATGAGTTTTAAATGGAAGAACCTAACAGACGGGTCCGATGCTCAACGAGGATAAGGCTGAAGGAGAGCCAGGCATTGAGCAGTGGGATTGTCGCTGCAATCTTGCAGGAGAAGCTTTGGCAGGGTGACGGAGGCAGAGGGTGGACAGGGGTGTCGGCGAACACACTCTCGGCTTTCCAGCCACATAGCATGGAACGCACCGTAGCTTACAAACAAGGCTTTATTTATTTATTTTTTTCAGAGGATGGGCTGTTCAAGGCCAGGGCTTACGACTTGGTGATGCTGGGACTCTGCCTCGTTTTGCTCCGTCCTCTGAGTCTTTTGTTCAGGGTCCCAAGCACCAGGCCCTCACAAGACAAGCCGCAGAGGCAGAAGGGGCCGGGGGGCCAGGGCTTCTCCTGCTTCTCTCCCGTCAGAGGAGAGCATTACCAGGGACCCCCTGGCAGGGTCCCCTTCCACAATGCCATCCAGGAGTGGGTCACGGGCCTGTGCAGCCCGGCAGAGGAGGTAGGAAAAAAGCAAGTATGCAGCGAGGGGAACTTTGTAATAAGAGTCGGGCTTTCTGGGAAGGCCCGGGGTGTTGAGAAACGGCCGGAGGGTCGACAAGCGGTATCTGCTGGAAGGAGTAAAGGGAAGTGATCGACGGGCACGTGCGAGCTTTCAAGGTGATGGCCGCGAAAGGAAGACGAACGCTGGGCCGGGGCTGAAGGGGAGCGGGGACATTTTTAATATCGGGGACGGCGGCCGATACGCGGTGTGTGATCATTTCGTCCTCTGATTACAGGGCGGAGGAAGATGGGCGACAACGACACGCTCGCCCTGTTCAGCTACCCCATGCTGTCCACACCCCAGTCTCTGTTCACAACCGGCAACCAGGGGGGCAACGAGGAACCCACCACCAATTACGACTACGATTACAGCGCACCGTGCCAGAAAACCGACGTGAGGCAGAACGCGGTCCGGCTCCTGCCTCCGCTCTACTCACTCGTGTTCATTTCCGGCTTC